CCCCTACACCCTCACATGCCCCACCCAGCCATTTACGAGCCGCGGTTGCCAGCAAAAGCCCAGCCGGTCGGTAGTTGTCCGAGTAATGAACTCCATGATTAATTCCAAGGATTCCCGGTAATACTCGCGGACAGCGCATAAACAGATGGCGTCATCCGGCGGATATATGCACCCCATGAAAATGCCGCGCCATGTCGTTAATGTGACGTCATCGTCCATATTCTGCGAGTCTCCATCCATGGACCGCGGGAAAAGCTGTGGATCTTCAAATAAAATCAGCCAATCCGGTCCAAAAATAGATCAATCAGACTATCGAGAGACAATAATTCTAGGGAATCAGAAGGGGGGCGAGTTCACGCAACGCTGAGCAAAAGTACAAGGTTTTGTGACTAAAAATAGAGCCAAGAGAGTCGAATGCTGTAAACCGGGTATTTTTCACGCTCGACTTGAATTCGCGATTTTTGTTATTTTTTAAGGAATACTCCGAATTCATGTCGTTTGCAGCATGTTAGCAGAGGGTCACTGCATTGCAACATATGACATTAGGAGACTCGTCACAGATTCAAAACGTTTGCGGAAAACGAAGAAGGGATAATGAGAAAGACAAGGGAGGGGGATAAAAGAGCAAGACATAATGAGAGAGAGAGAGAGAGAGAGAGAGAGAGAGAGAGAGAGAGAGAGAGAGAGAGAGAGAGAGAGAGAGAGAGATGGCAGTTGAAGAGGTTTTGTTACAACACTCTTTTTTGTGACAGTGGCCGACATTGCAGAACTGTGTGCAGAGGAAAAGCAACTCTTTTGGTCGTGTGGGTCCGTGTTGAAAGATGCGATGATGCACCGCAAAGACGTCGCCTTGATGTGCAGGTACGAGGTTAGGAGGGTGGACACAATATGTGAGGTAGCGTGGTGAAATAAGGCGCCCATCAAAATAGTGAAATCAAAGAAGCCAGTGACAATTTTTCCCCATTTTTTTGTTTTGGCTCGCCACCTTTTATTTCCATTAAATACACATTTCTGTGTGAATTTTACTGAAAAACCTAGATTAAAGGCACACAAAAAAATGTACATTTTCAGTTTCCAAAGACTCTCAGACTATGGAAATTACCAAACGTTGGCAGCCATTTTCTCGTTAACTTTACATCTGAATCTAAGGCAACCCTGACCTGCTTCAGAAGCAAATATTTTGACTTCTATTCAACATAGATTGGTATTTTCTTCCCCAAAAGGAAGACAAAAGAACAGGCTTTATGATGATACCGATAACCCTATATGCCTAAAAATTGGCCAGGGCCTGATTCTGCCACGTTGTGACACACATTGAACGATTGTACCTTAGAATTACAAAGTTTTATCGGCTCAGTACCTAGTTTTGAGAAATTTGACAATTGAAATTTTGAGTTTCACAACATGTCATGATTTTTTATTATTTTTAAATGCAGTTCTTGGTATATCTTCATAATCCGAATAATCGTACAATCTAGGTGCAGCTTAAGAGAACTTTGGGGTTTCTAACCATTTGGTCTCAGTAACTCAAAACGGCCAAAAAATGCCAGATAGAACTTTGTAATTTAAAGGAAGCGGGTCTGGACACTCGTAAACCTGTGAAAAATGTTGATGAGTAGACCACTCACTAAAACGGTAAAGATACAAAACGGAGCAGAACTTTCCTGAACAAGTGCTCAGTGAGTAACGTTTATCGACGATATTGACGACATGCAACTTCTTTTTAGACGTGAGGATTCGACTCAGAGGAATATAGCTACAAACAGCATAAATACAACGCATCGGATACAGTCTTTAACATAATATCAATAAATGATATTGATGACATACTACAACAGGCATAATTTTTTTAAAAACGTTAAAAGAAATAAAATAGGCATTACTCCAAATACAAAAAAAGAAACAACTGTAGTATTTTTATTTCTAATCATCTCTCACAAAATTTGTACTATAATGTTGCAATTCGGAACATATATAATTAATTTAAAAGGACTTTGTTTGACATAAAATTCGCTGAAGAAACTTATTCTTGAAAACGGAAACGCCTTATGTTAAAAACAACAACAACAAAAAAGCAAAAAAGCACCAATTTAAAAGATCTTGTAAGGAAATACATGAAATGATTGGGGGTTTTTCCCTTCCCTTTTATTTCTAAAATCTAATCTTTCCATCCCAGTAATCTTTAAACAATATTTCTTTTCTCCGGCAGAGTTAAAAAATCTTTTTTTAAATTATGGAATTTCGGGAACCAATGGTCTATATGTCCTCCTTTGGACTCGACACATTTTAACGCGTTGTTCTTAATGTTCAGTGGTGGCCAAACACAAGGATCCATTCAACCATGAGTACCCAAAGCCACACAAACTGTACACCTTACAGTACGGAGCTGTTTCTATAGGAAATTGGGGGGGGGGGGTGAGGTTGCCGAAATAGACAACATTTGTGAAGTTGATATAACCGGAAAGGTGAATATGGGCTTTGCCAAGGAACGAAATGCCATAGAGGAAATGCTCACGCTTTTCAAGGCGATCGAGGCGAATCATGAACACATTGCTATCCTCTGATAGCTTCGCGAACGGGAAAATGGTTCAGTCCTAGATGAAGATCTGCCTTGAGAATGAAGACCTTTGAGGTGTAAGAAAGTCATTGCTGCAGCCATCGTCTACGGACAGACGTCTCATGGGTTTCATCTTCCGAATTCTGCACCCTGGTGACGCTTAAAGGGGTGCGAAAGGTGCGTGTTTGACCTGAAGTGGTCGTTTTGTCGGCGAATTTTTAGTTCTGGTTCTCTACAAGTCCTAACTGATGGATCATTTCCACTATTGACGCCAAAGAAGGCCTTAGGGGCACTTAAACAATATTTCCGTACCTTGTGAGAAACTTACTTAATCAATTGGTGGTGAGGAAATGCTAACTACAAAAGGCTCTCTCTTCCCTTTACTTAACCATGATCTCAGCAAGAAAAGGAAACTTGAGAAAAACTAACTGCAAACTTCTGATGACCGGTTAGACTACTGTTGTTGCAATATGGTGCTATTGGTTGTTGTTTTTTCAGAGGTAGGCCTAATGCGAACTAGTGCGTCATGCTACAAAAATGGGGACATTGCTGAAAATAGGTCGTTTTTTTACGCGCTGTGTAGAGCAAAACTATTTAGTGGATGTACTTTTACTTTACTTTACTTTTATCCGAAGCTTATATCCTTTTGGGTGTTGCAGGAAGAAAGAGACGTCTCTCTGCCACTGGCCGGAGAGCTTGGGTCTGGGGTATGCCGTGGGTTGTTAATATTTCCCTGACTCAATATATATCCAGGTCTTTCTCAGTCGCCCTCTAGTCCTGTTTACATCAAATTTTTAGATGTAGGCACATAAAATGAATACCAGACAAATTCCTTTTGACTTCCAAATACCGATTACAAATTTGAAACGCAAAACCTCAGTGTGGAGGAAAATAGTATTTAAAAAGTTGTACAGTAGTTGTTGTTTTTTATCACCCTGTATATCCGTTTCGGGGTTACTATTAACTGAGCGGGAAATAAGCTTATTTTCCCTGGGAAGACTTGACAGAACAGTACTATGTTCACTTATAAAATGATAGCTCGGATAAAGAGAACACTGTGGCCTTGACAATTTCTACCAGAGGCATTGGATGTCGGTGGTAAAGCTGAACTCAGGCATGGGTTTCAAAACTATCGTAATTCGAGTTACGATATTTTTGCTCTAAAAGATGTGTTAAATTGTTTTCTTATAAGCATCTTATCTCAAAAGTGCGTACTATAAGCGTAACAAACAAAAGTCATACCCTAATGAAAATGTATTGTTTAATTGTGGCGAAATCGGTAAGAACAAAAGCATCGTACTTGACTTACGATATTTTAGAAACCATTGAAAGTCTGTTTTTATATAAAAGTATAGTAACTCCAATTTACGATAGTTTTGTTGCCACGGACGTGCATCGACATAGAAAGATATATATTGTATTATCGTATCTCTGGGTACTTTAGATTGACATATGTCCTTCTTGGCAACAAAACTATCGTAATTTGCTATACGAAATACTATGAAATTAATGAAGGAAGTTTCATAACCATCGTAACTCGATTTACGATGGTTCTTTTGCCAAAAAATCATTGACATAAATTCGTAACTAAGGTACCGTTCAAACTGAAAGATACACAATTTCGAAACAGGCATAAATAAATCCGGTGTGTTTTTCAACCTGTAATATTGAAAAATCACATCCCCAAATCATCTGTGCGATGAGTAAATCAGTTTTCTGCTTCTACCGAAAAGAAGGGTTTTTATGACACATCAGTATTGATCTCCAGTCCCGAAATGAACTTCTAATTTTTGTATTCTTTGTGAGGTCGTGTGAAATGTCCATTCAAAGAAATACAGATACAAGGCCAAAAACTTCCCTCGTCGCTTTATATTTCAATATATAAACTTATAGTCCTTTCTAAGACACTATTTAACGTGTTCTGGATCTATATTTTCTTGTATTCTGTTGTTTTTGCCGCTGCTTATGTTCTGCCATTCCTACTTCTCTTCCCCTCTTTTACTAGATCGAGCTCAGTATGTCCTTTGTGGCATAGTTCTCCTTTTTTACCTACCAAATATGTTCAGAGCAAAAAGGATCAAGCCTATTTTAAAAGAAAGAAAATTCTGGTTGATAAAATTTTAACATAACACCATAAACTGTGGTCTTTAATCTCACTATTTATGCTTTTACCACAAGGGGGTTTGCCTCATACTTGGACTGTGTGAACGATATCAACATCGTCTGTCCAGATTACGCGGATGCCAGTGGGCTTGATTCCACTCTTAACTACATGAAAGGAGTTCTGGACTTTGAATGTAAGTATCAATCAAGTAAGATTATAACATTGGCCAGCTGCTCTGGTGTTCTAAACCCAACATTTTGTATTTTTCATAGCAGTTTTTAAATCTATGGTTGTTGTTGTCTGTGCTCAATAAATAGCTCTGCGAAATTCGAATTCTAAATTATGTTGAAAAAAAAAGAGAAGGTAATATAAAGCAGGTACACACTTATAAGAAATATATGTTCGTTTTTTTCTCTGTTGAAAAATATTTGCTTTCTGCGCTTAGAATTAGAACTTTTGAACAGCCTGCCCATGGTAGCTAAAAGTATACATGTACCAATAGAGGTTTGGGCCGCTGTGATTCTGAACGTAATGCTGTGTCATCCAGCATTTTCCTAATGCTAGATAATATCTCTTTTTACCTTATCATAATTTCCCTTTCATTGTTTCTCTCTCTGTGTGGTAACTCTCGGGCTTAACCTAAAGGTTTGTCTACTGTGGGTGGGTGGCGGGTGCTTTGGTGTGGTTTGCTCCTTCTTTCCTTTCAAACATCGATCGCCTTTATCTTTCCCCCTTCTTTCTTGTGTTTGAGTTTGTTACTCTCTTGTAGCACCCCTAATCATCAGCATTTATACGACCTTATTGTGTCGCAAGTACCGTAAAACACTTAGTAAAAATGATACAAATGGGTAGTCAACTGTAAGCTCTTCATACCCACAGTGTAAGTAATTCTGACATTCAAATAATATTTATTTTCCTACATTAAAGTAATACACATGGAGCCATAATCTTCTCTCAGTAGTTTACGTAGGCAAGATGTCCCTTTACATTAATAGGGTTCTAACCTCATACTTAGCTGAAACCGAGGTACGTGATACACATTACTGACTAAGATGCCTTATACACTGTGTCAAAGACGCGACACAATCTGACTTGTATTTCTTTTCTTTTTTAAAAATAGTTTTTAGCAAATTCTTTTTGTAATCTCATTAGCCTTGGTGAAAAGATCAAACAAGTCCAACAGTTTGAATATCTAGGATATTTAATAACATCTTATGCCAAATGTTCCACAGAAATGGAACAGATAATTGCAATGACAAAGGTTAGTTTAGTTTCAGTAAAATGAGCCAAATTCTGAAAAATAGAAACATCTCAATGACCACTAAAATGAAAGTTTTGAAATGCTATGTATGGCCAACCCTTCTATAGGGCTGTGAATGTTTGAAATAACTAAAGACAGTGAAAATAAAATAGAAGCATCAGAAATGTGTGTGTGTTTTTAGGAGACTGCTGAGAATATCGTGGAAGGAAAAGAAATCAAATGAGGTAATGCTTCATGAAGCCCACAATCAGGAAACGACCAAATCAGTTTTTTGGAACACCTGAACAGACATAAAGGTCTTTAACATCTAGCCCTCACTGGCAAAACCGAAGCCAAACGAGGCAAGGGTAGGCTCAGAGCAACCTACTTAGGAAACCTAAACAAATTATGTGTAATGGGGAAAGATCTGGGAAACGTAGTTTTTTAAAAGAGCATCCGAGAAAAGGAATGAATGGAGAACCATGATCGCCGATATTTGTCTCAGATCTGGCACTGGATGAATGAATAAATTAGTTTGACGCTTAACAAACAAAGTGTGAAAACATTTTAGTTTTAGGCACAAAAGCGGGAATCAATCTTTGAATCTTATCGTCTCAAAGCTATGCGCCGTGGAGTAAGAACCCTGTCATTCTAAGGGCACTAAGGGTTTCTTCCACTTAAGGTCTGGATGATAGAAGTACATCACTCAGGTAGCTGCTGAGGCACCTGTACTTCCCAACTCATAGCAACTAATGGTATCCTAAATGTTTGTATAATACAGTGTAGGGTGGTACTTATATGACCTTATTATGTTGCATGCGCCGTAAAACGCTTACTTAATTATAGAGTTGTTACACTTTCTATTGGTAGGTAGTTTGTGATGGTTCTCTGTGTGTGTGTGTGTGTGTGTGTGTGTGTGTGTGTGTGTGTGTGTGTGAGTGTGTGTGTGTGTGTGTGTGTGTGTGAGAAAGAGAGAGAGAGTGAGAGAGAGAGAGGGAGGGAGGGAGAGAGAGAGCAGAGAGAGAGAGAGAGAGAGAGAGAGAGAGAGAGAGAGAGAGAGAGAGGGGGGGGAGGGAGATAACTTAAATTCGGACTCTTTAAAACATATTATTATTATTATTATGTGTATCTTTTCCATTTAGGCCCAGGAACTCGGAGGAGTGAGGGGTGCTCACCAAAGCTCGTATCACGGCTTATGGTACGCTGCCAAAACGTTGCCCAAATTAACAGGGGTGGATCTATCTCTGGAGGTTGCAGGTGAGAATGACGTCGTTACTTTCCCATTGAAAAACGATACTTTAAAGGTTAAGTTGTAACTTTACATTTTCACTTTCGTACATATACATGGACATATGTAGGTCAACGGTTATAGGTCAAACTTACGATAAAATATGAGTTTTAAAGCCAGTGAAAACGCGGAGCGTCAATTACTTTTTACAGTGTAATAAGACAGGAAACACGGTCTTCTTGACAAGATTACGAACGACATGGATTCTTATTCAAGTAATTGAACATCAGAAAGTTAAAACAGTTTTCTTTTTCTTCTTTCTTACTTTTCCAAACCGAACTGACCAGTAAGTAAAGCCCAATGGGTTAAGCAGTTATTTGCATTTTCAAATATAAAGCGGGAAACATTTATTTCGCGCTCCAGCTTAGTGATAAAAGGTGTTTTTTAAAAGTCTGCACTGTCTTAAATATTTTAATAGGTTTACTGACTTAGAATGTCAACATGTCTATGGATTGTTCGACGCCTTATTATGCTTAAGTTATAGTGCGGTCACAATTTCAAGTTGCAACTTATCCTCAAATATCTCTTTAACGAGTGAAACAGTACCGCCTATACTTTGTACATCAGTTTGTATGAATTCGTCTTAACTTACTCATATTTTTTCCACAATAAAGTAGGTTAGATAAAAAAAAAAAAACTTTCTTCATAAAAATATATTAGCTATTGAGTTCACTTTACTTGCTCTTCCTTTTCCAGGAAACTTGGTGCCTACCAAACCTGCTTATCCGAAGCTGCCGAAGTTTGTGAGGACAGCCCAGCCCTCGACAGTGCAGGCCTGCTGTCGAGTATAGAGGCTGCCGAGGCAGCTATTGTTACTCAATGTGAGTCCTTGGTGGTAAAGCGGGTTTCAGGCTTATCCTGTGGCTCTCGGTTTTGCAGTAAATAATATGCATAATGGCAGCCGTTAAAACTGTACAAAATGTCCTCGACATTATACCACTTCAGCGCACAGTGATTCGATTGCTTAAGATCAACATTACTGAGGTTTGTTTTTGGTCTATTTTGTCTTAATCTTTCCGGTTTGTTTGTTCGTTTGTTTTGGATTTTTTTTTTTTAAGTTCTGTTGTGGAATCATTTGCTTGCTTGTCTGTTTATTGTTTGCTGTTGTTGTTTTGTTTTGTTTACATCTATTTGGGTTGGGCTGGGATCAAATCCGTTATTCATTAAAATAATTAGACTTTACCTACCATAAGACAAGGGATGTGGCTATACATGGTTTTTCACTTTCACCAAAGCCGTTACTCATTTGGTCCGTAATTAGTGCGGAACATTTGCCCAGGGGGGCTGCACCAGGTAATTGCTTTTGTGTCGACATCCATTTGATAAGTATATTATTATTCTGCTTAGTGCGATTTGATAATGGACACATGACTAGTTGAATAAGTGTACAAACAACCTAAATGATTGTTAACATGGTTGTAGAAATACTAGTTGGAGAAATAAATAATTGTTGAGGACGTAGAGCTTACTTTTGAGTGAAGACTATACATGTTCTTCTTCATCATCATCATCATCATCATCATCATCATCATCATCATCATCATCATCATCATCATCATCATCATCACTACTAAATTATGATTTATTGGTTAAGATTGTTCTCACTTGATTTTTGATCAAGGCCTTATCTACATTATATGCCCAGATTTATGTTATTTAGGACAGTACCAACTAAAAACTGTTACCCTTTTCACGACTTTTTGGAATTACAGTATTTATCAATGGCCAAAAAATTGCCATTAGTATGTAGCGACAAAAAACCCGTGCTTAAACGATGGCCAAATCTTTCGCAAGAATGTCTTTTCCCCAAGGAGCGTTTTCATATCGACGATAAGCATGTTGATCTAATGTCGGCCAGCACACAAGATTGGTCTTCACACAGTCCTAGTGGTTAGGCTAGCAGACCGGCCACTGTGAGATCCAGGGTTGGAATTCCATCAGGGGCCCGAAGTTGTGTCTTTAGGAAAGGCACTTAACACGAATATTTCTCACTTCACTCAGGTGGAAATGGGTACCCAGGTTATAGACAGCAAAATACATAAATAAATAAATAAAAAATTGTACAACTTGTTTTGTAAATATCTTACTCTATACTGAAGTTTTGCTTTTCAGATTTGAACATAATATTTGGAAGCCAAAGGGAATTTGTCAAATATTCATTTTAGATAAGTCCATTAAATGGATTTGCTCTATTGGCGCATTAAAAAACAACATTTTCAACCTTGCCTCCATTTTCGTGGCATGACGCACCAGTCTGCATTAGGCCTACAACTAAAAGTTGCAACAGTCTCACCATATTGCAAGCTAGAGCAGTCTAACAAGTCAACAGTAGTCTACAGATATTATTTTTCCCAAGTTCAGTTTGCCTGCTGAGATCATGGTTAGGTTTGTAAAGAGCAGGGAGTTGTTTGTATTGAACATTACACCTCAACAAACTTACCATCTTTGACATTTCGTAAGTTCTGTGCACGGCATGGAGAGACTGGTTAGGTAAGACCTTTTGTGTCTTGAGTAGAGAAGTTCCGTCAGTTTGGATCTATATATATATATATATATATAGCGAATCAGAAATAACAATTTCCTTAAAAATGACCACTTCAGGTGGAACACGTACCATGCACATTCATGTAAACGTCACCAAGATGCAGATTTCAGCAGTCGAGTCCCATGAGACGTCTATCCGTAGACGATCTGCAGCTATGGCTTTCCTACACCTCAACAGTCTGCATTCTCAGGGCAGCTCTCAATTTATTTACGACAGTACCATATTCATCTTCACTGGGCCAAGGTGACATGGATCCAAGCATGGCATGGTTCCTCGATTGTCTTGAAAAGCGGGATCATTTCCTCGATGATATTTGGTTTATTGCAAAGCCCATTTTTACCCTTTGGGATTTGTTGACTCCAAAATTGCTGTCTATTGGGCACCCCACCCCCTATTGTCTCCAGAAGCCACTTCATACTGAATATCTAAAGCGTATGTGGCTTTAAACATTCATGGTTTAGCAAGTCATTGTGTTTGGGCGTCATTGAACATTTCGAACGACGCGTTAGAAATGGGTCGTGTCCAAAGGAGGGATCGTAGAGCACTGATTCTAGGAATTCCAGAATGAAATCGTTAGTAATTAAACTTTGTGAAAGAAATTAAATATTATTTAAATGCTACAGGGATAGAAAATTAAATGTCAAAGAGAAAATAAAGATAAAAGTCAAACAATCTTTCCACGACTTCCTTTACACAATTTTTTCTAAATGGGGAACTTTGCGTTTTTGGGTGCTTTTTTCTTTAAGCCATTTCCATTTTCAAAATATGTTTCTTCTTCGTGGATTTTATGTCAAACAAATTCCATTTAACTGAATGTTGTCTGTTCCTAATTACAGTGTTCTAGAACAATTTTGTGCAAGATATTCATTAAAAAGTTGTACAGTTGGGTTTTTTTTGGGATCACCCTGTATCTTGTCAGTTTGTAAGTTTTTGAGCGCATATATTGCGCAGCTTGCACTGTATGCTTCCCAGGAGGACCAGAATGTTTTTGAGGACTCTCGGGTTTGCCTGGGTAACAATTGTAAATCGCATAGATCATGCTGTGGAGCATAGATAAGCGCTGATTAAATGCCACTATTGTTGTTACTTCTTTGATCGGTTGGTAATCGTTGGTATTCAAGTACATGTATGGATGGATACGCCCCTTTAGTTCAGTTGCTGTCATGCAGACCTACGATTGTTAATTTGTAGAATTCAGCATGGCAGCGACCTCAAAAGTAACTGTGCCTTGTCTTTCCCCAGGTTAATTCATCGTGACGGAATAGCCATAAGTGGGTCACATCACTTCTACAAAATGAGGCATGTACGGGTGCTGCTTTCAGATGTTTTTACCAAAACTTTGGCTTGTGCACAGCCAGGAAACACCACTACGATTTTACAGCAGATTAATATTGTTCATGAGGTGTATATAACAAACCTTCCTGTTAGAGGCAAATGCAACTTCAAGATCATACATTGTTGAGTGATTAAAAAAGACGATTGTGCATGTTAATAGTTTATATTCCCCTCGGCATAATATAAGTTGTCTTTCGAATAATAATATACGTTTCATTCTTTCATGTTTCAGTCACTCTCTTGTCTATCAATGTTAAACAAAAGCCATTTGTGTTTTGTCAAACGACCAATGAATAAATCCTTTGATCATTCGTATATTGATGTTTTTGTCTTACTCTCTTAAGATTTAGTTTTCCAACATACGCATCGTGTTGTGGGCCATAAATGGACAATAAATGTGTCTCAATTCGTTGACAAAGAAGAAAAACTTGTGAAACATCGAATTTCGAATCTGACAAGCTTGATTGGGGATATTGCTTTGTCTCTGCTTAATTCCTTTAGCCCCTCGCTCTTTGCCCAGGTCTTGAATTAAGATCTTTGTTTTCGAAAAAAAAATGCATTATAACAATTAGAGAAAACTAAAACATTACCCCCCTTTGTGTCCCCTGAAACGGAACCACTCAAAAAACCCATGCTGCAAGAGAATGTTTTCAATTCTTGCCTTGGTTAGATTTGTCAATTGCTAACCCAACGTTAGACTCCGATTTTATAATAACACACACACAGTGTTGCAGGAAGCGACATACACTTCGAAAGTAACCTTCTCTATCTCACACTGTGTTCAGCAAATGGACTGGTTTTCAAGTACATGAATGGATGGGTACACCCCTTTAGTTCAGTTGGTGTCATGCAGCCTACGATTCAGTTAACCGTGGTCCGAACCCTAAAATGCAGCATTTTTAACTTGGACAGTTTAGGACGAAATGCAGTATTTTAACCTGGACTGTGAAAGGAATTTTAAAATGATCTCAGCCCATTTCACTCTGTCAAATTGGGGGATACACCTTACATTTATGAGTATCACTTCTCAAAAGATTTTCACCAGATTAAAGAGGCGTTTAACACATAATATAGTAGGTCCACAACTACAAAAAAATACATATTGTCCCAAATACTGAGGACCATCTTCAGTGGCGTTCTATCAAGGTGAAAGTGTTGAGCTGTGAAGTCCCTCTGGACACTATCAAGGTTACTTGGAAGGCAGGGCTCTTGGTCTCCTTCTATTTCTAGACAAATGGTTGATAGGTTTTTGGCATTGTTTTTGTGAGTATTTTACGGCACTCGCAACTGCATAAGGTCATATGAACGCAGGGGGCACATTCATCTTTTTCAGTTTGGTAGGAAATTTGAATTTTGCCCGTGAGGAGGCCGAAATTTACTCTTACCGATTTCGAATCACCAAGAGATCTTTAACGTGCACAACTTGCACACGAAGCCTCCGATATTTTGTGCCCTTATCCGAGAAGGCTAGGTGTTAGATCTTACATGTCATAAGACTAGGGGTGTGGCTGAAAGTCAGAAGTAAAAATGTGCCAGCGAATAGCAGTAGAAAAGCTGCAGAAAAAGTCTGGAGCCCAGAGGAGGGGACAAAAGAGGTGAAGGGGTGGGGGCAGAAAGTAGAGACGAAAGCAGACGACAGATCAGCGTTCAGGTAAGGATGTGAAAGGAGAACAGTTTAGAGCAGAACATTTTCGGTCGCAATCTGGATTCGAGCCCAGGACTATTGCATGAGAGAAAAACACCTTAACCCCAAGACCACGATAGCCCCCCCCCTCCCCCCCAACAGATCTGTAATGTGCGCAACTTGTACATGGGAGCTCCGAAATTTTTGCCCTTATCCGAAAAGGCTGTGTGATACCCTAAGATCAGGGATGTGGCTGAAAGACAGAAATAAGAAGGAGCCAAGGAGCAGCCGTCGAACGGCTGTAGAAAGAAACAGGAGCTCATAGGAGAGGGCAAAAGGGGGGGGGGAGGGGGCAGGGGGCAGAAAGTGGAGACAAGAGCAGACGTTAGTAAATGGTTAGAGAGCAGGAAAGAGGGTCAAAAGAGACAATTTTGGAGAAAATATTTTCAGTCGCTGAAAGCTTTCGAACCCAGGAGGCGAACACCTTGCCTCAGGACCACGAGAGACCCCCCCTCCCCCCCCCCCCCCCCCCCCACACACACATATTATATAATATGTATGAAAAGATAACCTTGGTAGCAAAGTGTCGTTGTGTGACAACGTGTGTGCAGCTTGAAGTTCTGACTGAAAACTACAGGAGTAATTTGCAAAGCCAAAACGATCTGTTCTTTTTATTGGGCAATTTGCTATGTTTTGACAATTGCTTAATAGTGTGTTTTTACAGATTTAGAAAGGGATCAAGTAGATTAGTTGCTAGAGAAAACCTACAATACGCCAAATCCACATTTAGAAATCCTTTCTCAGGAAACGGTTAATGTAAAAAATCTCAAGAAATTGTAACTGTGGTATTATTTTGCACGTTCGTGCTTTCTTTCTAGGCTTTGTCAGCTCACAGGAAGAAGTTGCCCTCTAACAACGATTTCCACTCCGTTTGTCGTCTGTTCTCCGTATCTAGTTTGTACTCATCCCTCTTAGATGTCATCTTGCCACCTATTTTCTGGTCTTCTTATTGATCGCTCTCTTGTTCTTGGTCTCCATTCAGCACATCTTTATTTTCCATTATCCTGCATTCTAACGATGTGATCAGCCCATTTCCATTTTTGTCCGAATATGAATTTGGGGACAGCTGTTACACATTTTGTGTGTGCTATTTAAATATTTCAAACAGCCAAGAAATATCGTTCTACTATTCATTATCCGCTTTGTTGAAAAAAAAACGGCAGGGGAAAAAGGGACAGGAGAGGGGGTGGGTGAGAGGGGGGACGTCAGTAGTCTGTGTGGGTATTTCAAAATATCCAATCACTTCCACTTATGGGCTATCTAGTGAGGCAGGTATCATTTTTGCCAACGATAATTTGACGTCCGGAAGCCACCTATATCTTCTTCCTCTTGCAGCTGCAGCTTGTTTTCTGATCGTACACTTATTTATTGTAATATTTCTCTGTCTCAAAACAAAGTTCGTCAATGGATTGTGCAATGTGTGTTGATTTTTAGCTTGCTCTTTCCCGTCATTTTTATTTAATTTCTCAATTTTTCCGTTGATTGTCATCTCTTTTGCAGCACTCTTTTTCTGCTACGTATGTGTGTATGTGTGTATGTATGTGTGTATGTGTGTATGTATGTGTGTATGTATGTGTGTATGTGTGTATGTATGTGTGTATGTATGTATGTATGTATGTATGTATGTATGTATGTATGTATGTATGTATGTGTGTATGTATGTATGTGTGTATGTATGTATGTGTGTATGTATGTATGTGTGTATGTGTGTATGTGTGTATGTTTGTGTGTATGTATGTGGGTAAGTGTACATGTCTATATGTGTGCATATATGTATGCTATTTTTGTAGTATTAGTAGTATAGGGTTTTACGGCGCTCGCAACTGCATAAGGTCATATGAGCGCAAGTATAAGATAATATGTATGTATGTATGTATGTGTGTATGTGTGTGTATGTATGTATGTATGTATGTTTGTATGCATGCATGTGTGTATGCGTGCGGGCTTGCGTGCGTGCCTGTGTGCGTGCGTGTATGTTGTTGTAAGTTTATATTTATGTCATCGTTTTGTTCTAACAGCACAAGCAATTATGTCAGGTCCTCTGGCCATTTGTTTCCATTGAGTTAGTTTTCAGACTTCCTTTTAGACTGTCTTGAATTTGTTTCATAGTTTATTACGCTATATTATGTGGTCTGTAGGGCTGGCTTGAACGAGTAAATAATGATTTATTATATTTCGATTTTTTATTAACTGGCGTTTGTGGTATAGTGGTAAGGCGTTTTATCGTTGCACACGGAAGTCCTCTCAGCCCATGTTTGCCCTGGTGGGTAGGGGGGGGGGGCGCCTCCGAAATAATAGGGGTATAAAAACACTTGCATTAAATAAAGTCATTGATTAATTAGCAGTTTATTTTAAATTAGATTATAACCGACAAATCGATACAGAGATTTAAAAAAAAGAAAAAGAATTAACCAATATTGGGTTCATTTAGTTATTCCACCATTTTGCAATAACAAGGCTGGAGGTCAACACAATGAAACAATAGCCCATGTTGCGAATTGTAGTAACAGTAGCAACACCACCATCATCATCATCATCATCTTCATCATCAACATCATTATCATCATCATTATCAATCATCGTCATCATCATCAACTGCAGCAGCAGTAGCAGCAAATACAGCAACATGGCAATAGCAACAGTAGCAGCAGCACCAACCACCACAACAACAGCAACAGCATAGTAACAACAGCAGTTGTAGTACAAACCCGAGTTTGTTCGGTATTCGGCTACTTTCCAATGTTTATCATAACAGCACATAAGGCTTATCACCTGCACCACAATATTGTTCCAATCATACAATAATAGTGAGACTTTGCTATCGATTCACAGATTACTTTCTTTATTGTGGCGTTTTCTCCTCCGTCTGCTTGGCCGAGGAGGTTCCCTCGCCATTAGTGGCCATCAGTATCTGTGAGGCTTGAAAAATAAATGATATGATATGTGTTTTCATGCCATCGACATAGTTAAGATAAATTAGGAGGCGGGCTTACGACCCTGTCTGTCAGGACCAACCCGGGCTGAGAGGGATACGTACAACAGAAAGACTGAGATACTCAATAAAAAATTCTCACCACTCTTGAATCGAACTCAAGTCTTCTGTGTGCGACATATTCGATAAAAGATTATCACCGCTCGAAATCGAACTCAAGTCTCCTGCGTGTGTCAGCGAAGAGCCTAACCGCTATACCAAAGACGCCGGCTGTGATATTGTGATGCTCGAGTTGTGAAAGTAAACACCATGGGCAACACGAAAATGTACAGTCCAGCACGCACATGGCGAAGTCGGCGAGACGCGGGAATATTTTTAAGTTATATAACAATTTCGCTATGTACGTGTTTTAATTACACAGAATATAATAACATAGTGTGAGAAAAAAATTCGGGACCAGAAAATATGTGCGTTATGTGCGTGTTTCACTATGGGCGTGCTTTACCTCTTCATCGGCAATGTTATAGTTTTACTACGGTGTCCGGAGAGTGATACTGTGGCGTCTCACGTGATTTGTTTTTTTGTTGCGATAATGATGATAATAATTTATTTACACATCAATAGCGCATATCCGTGTGTGTCCTACTGCATATTATTATGCGCTCGGCTCTCACGAAAGTATACAGCACAAGTAGCCGATTCAGCCCTCAAAGACAAACGAACTGACAAGATTTTTCGCTGTCTGTCGATAGACACTCATTCCCACCTAGATGAAACGAGGAAAATCCATGCAAATTGCCTTTTCAAGGACACAACGTCGGACCTCTGGCTTACCCTTTCGGTTATGATTTGGACTTCTCAAGTGGATTGCTTGCGACAGCGACGAAATGGCCTGTGGCATTCGCATTCTGCGGCTCCATCACTTTGGAATCCATACTTTTTATAGTTCGGTCAAAAATTCGTCGTGCAACTAATCCTCAAATATCTCTTTAACGGATGAATCAAAGTCACCCATGCTTCGCACAGCATGTTTTATCAATTCATCTTAACTTAATCATTTTCCCACAACAATTTTGGCTAGGTTGAAAAATATTTCTTCATAAATTTATAAAAAATACTATAGATCTCCGTCACGTGGAAAATGGGAATGTTCACAGCACTTTCCTCTTCTCACATACATTTTGTTTATTCATATTGCCTACGTCACAGGTAAGCAATGAAGCTTTTTAGTAACAACACTTATTTCAAGAAGTTAATTTTATAGTGAACACATTTTTTGCACTAAAGGTTCTCAAAACATGTGTTCAATAAGCATAGCGTCGTTATTTTAAGTAAAAATGACGGACTCGCTTTTAAAAGCGATATTACCGCATCTGTAAATGTCTTAAAATCTGAGGAAACCATGGACTCCGATTTTTAGAACTTTGTATTTATTAAGGAATTTTCCAGAATACAGTGTACATGTGTTAAAAAAAATATTCACCTGTTAGGAGATACTGATATAAGTCATTGTGCAAAACTTGGAGAGTCTGTGTTCTATAGTTAAGGAGATATTTGACAATAAGTTGCGCCACGATTTTTTGACCGCACTAGGTAACCTGATTAACGTAGATATAATCCATGTCAATGGGAATATTCACTTCTATATTATTATATAACAGCTTTTTCTACTTTTTCTTTTAGATTTGGTTGTCGTTCGGCTAGTTTGGTGATTTTCGGCTGGTCTCTTTTATCATCGAAATAATAGTTCTTCAACACACTGTGCCCATCTCTCTTTGATAATTTGTCTGCTTTGTCCATTTGTATGTTTTCATTTTTGGATTTTATACAGTCAATTTGGGAAGTTTTCAGGTTTGGAATCTCTTTGATTTTGAAACGCATGTATTTTTGTGTGGTCTATTATCTTTGATTTCGCTTCTTTTTTTTTTACTTTGGTCATTTACTCATATGATCTCTGTTGCTTCACTACACACTTTCTTTACCTCTTAGTTTAGGTTCTTGTACTTTTGTGGGGCCACCTTTTGCTTTGGACTTTTATATCACTTTGTCATCATACACTTTTTTCGTCATCCACTTCTTGTGCTCATTCTTCATACGTTGCAGACAGAATTTGAGGATAGGTTGTCCACACTATGGACATGTCAAACACTTGGTTCTTCAGTTGACTCTACATGTATATAGCTCTGTCTTAGAATTTCCCTTTTCTCTTCTGTCCATGTTACAGCCTTCAGGGCAGAAAACTTACCTTTCACTTCTACGGAAAAATTTTCTCTCAGTTTCTGACATGTTTTCAAAATTTCACAGTTAAATTTTGTTTGTGTTTCGTTTTCCCCAGTGCCTTCAATTTACATGTGGCTTTCACCTCCCGAGGATGTAGTCGCTTCCATAGTTGGGTTTTTTTGCACGGATATTTTGCCGATATGATTGTATTACGAAACTGCCGTATCTATTTGTAAATCAATCTGATCGCTGTTTGACTCCCGGGATCTTCCATGACCATGTCTTTCTATGAATGTTCTTGAACCAGGTATTTGACACGTCTATAGTATGGTCGAAATTTTGTGGCGCAACTTATCCTCAAATATCTTTTAAACGGGTGAATCAAAGTCACCATTACTTTGCACAGCACTTTGTACATTTGTCAATTTGCCTTACCGCCATCATGTTTTTCCACAATAATTGAGGCTAGATTAAAAATAATTTATTACACTCGTTTTGGTGTAAGATCATGATTTATCCTACGAGTGAAATTGCCAAGTTGCGAGTGATTACAACTGGCAACTTCACTAGTAGGATAAATCATGGTCTAACACCAAAACGAGTGTAATAATTGTTTTATGCCATACTGATATGAGCTGGCAAAATACATGTACCAACAAAGTTGAAATGACCCGCCAATTGGACAAGAGGATCCATTCTAGAGTCTAACATGAAAACAACATTATTTTCATGCCCGTTGAAGTCAGATTGAGAATTGGCAAAAATCTGGATTGTTTTCCTTTACTTCTAGCCACGCTAATTTACAAGCTGTACTATCCGTATGTCTCCCTCCGCGAAACAAACCCCAAACAAAACTATCACAACGTATCTATAAGCAAAGTAATCAGAGAACGTGCGATTCAAAAGTTGAAAGAAACTGCATTAATCTGGCATGTTGTTGTAAGAATAGAGATGGCTTTGATTTTGATTTCAAACTTAGTAACCAAAACAAACCAAAGGCAAAGAGTTGTTTTCTAGATCTAGATCTAGATATTAGAACTAACGCATTGCTTTAAATTGGTCAAAGATGAAAAAAAAGGCTTTTTAACAACAAAAGTTGTCTAGTTACTTGGATACTGACGTGCTGATTCTAAATATGTAGTTAGATATCTAGTTTTTGTCTGTCGATTTCTGATATTCGGGATTTTTTAAGGGGAGGTTAGAATATCAGAATAGCAAGGGAAGTAGCTTATATTATTTCCAAAAAAGTAATTATCCAAGAGTGTTATACTCATATATTGACTAATATCATATGTATCAATTACATATTGTTTTAAAGTTTAATCTTCTTTGAACCTATTACCCCGAAGGACAGAGTAAAAAGATCAACAAAATTATCCCCTGCAAAATTTGTGAACAAAACGTTCAAAAAACAGAGGAGCATATATATATATATATATATATATATATATATATATATATATATATATATATATATATATATATATATATATATATATATATGTGTGTGTGTGTGTGTGTGTGTGTGTCACGTCGAGGTGGGATCAGGCTCTAGTCAATTTTTGGGCATATTATAAAGTTGTTCGTTTCATCTGAAAGCTGATAAATAAGTATTATCTATTTATCTCGAATAGAACTCAATATATTTGTGATTGGAGGACGTGATGTCGCCTGGTTTCAGTGGTGAAATTAACGAGAAAAAGGCGGCCAAAGTTTGGTCACTCTAATAGCTAAATAGTCTTTGAAAACTGAAAAATGGCATATTTTGCGGCTGTAATCAATGTTTTTCAGTAAAATTCATATGGAAATGTGTTTTATAAAATGGAATAAAAGAGATTAATAAGCCAAAAAATAAAAACAAAATAAAAAATTTCCAAATTTGCGAAAAATGGCTGTTTCTTCTTTTTCATTATTTTGACGAGCGCCTGATTGTCTTGGCCCTAAATACCGAGACATAATTATTGTTCCAAGCGCTTTAAATCAAGGGAGTCTAGTAATACGATTGAGAGCAGGATGTAACGAATAACATAGTTATTTCCCTTGCACTTGTCAGTGAACATAGGAATGATTTTGGCAGCAAAGTTACCTGACGTTATAACACTTTGGAACTAATGTGTTCTTTTCTCCATAAGCAGACATGCTTTATTATTTGAATTCAGTTAGATTCAATCAAGCCCCCCCCCCCCCCCCCCCTTTTTTTCACGCTTACATTGAACTTTCCAAATACTTAAGCTTTGCGGACTTTTTTAAACTTTCTATTCATGTTCCCAATTTGTAAGATATAAGTGGAAGTATTGTCTACGTGTATGAGAGTATTTGTGTATGTGTGTGCGTGTGTTTGTGTATGTTGGAGGAAGGTACATGTTGGAGGAAGGTACAGATTTAAGGGGATGTACCATAAAAAAAAAAAAATTTAGGTTAAGGGGGCGGGGAGGTGGCAATGGTACATAGCAAAAGCCTGTGACGCACATTCTTTTTATTACAGTATTAATCACTTCCTACCGTTAAAAATAGTATGTGTACTCTTTAGTACTTTTTTTTAAAAGAACAATAATGACCGGGTTGATTGCGATGATAGAAACAATTAAGCCGGTGGTGATAAAATATTTCGCCATCATGGTTCCGTGGATATCAGTTATATTGTAATATTGTAATACTGTAATATTGTATGTAATATGTATATTGTATGTAATATTGTATGTAATATTGTAATATTGTATGTTTGTTTGTTTGTGTGTGTGTGTGTGTGTGTTTGTATG